GGTGGTGCTGGGGATTAAATTGAGGATCTTTGCCCTGAGCTACATCCCAGCCCTTTTTAAGAATATTTTATTTGGGTGCTTGTTCTTGCTAAACTAAGTTGCGCAGTCTGAGTTTGATCTCTTGAAACTCGTGGTCCAGCCTTCCAGCATGCTGGGATTACAGGTGCATGCCACCATGCCCAGTTCCTTACAACATTTAAAATTTTTATTCAGTCATCTACTTTCCTATCAAGTATTTCTTTCTCCTGTGACTCTTTGATATTACCAACTCACTCTCTGGATCTGTCAGAGAATATTCAGTATAGTGTTTGGGAACAAGAAATATTGGCCATCTCTGTCTTAACTGATCACAAATTATCTATCTTCACTAGTTATGTTTAGAGGTCAGAAAAAAAAGGTAGTACCTGGTATCAGCAACTATATCTGAAATCGATGGCCTAAAGAATATATCTGGAGTTCAAGGTGGCAGCAGAACCAGTGGCCGAGCACAGCAGCTGTGGCAGTGGCAGTAACTGCAGGGAGCCAAGGAGGAGCACAGCCAAGATGTGTTTGTCTAGGAAGCCAGTGAGACCTCTGTTAGTGTCAGAGATAAGCCAGCACCCAGCTGTCACAGACTCATGTTTCTGAAATGACCTAGAAGCAGGATTTGAGCATCTTACTAAAACTGAATTCCCATGCTTTTGACTCCCAAGTGGAATATTGCTTAGAAGATACACAGCCTGGTAGCAAAGCTTGGGAACCACTGCCAGTGGCTGGCTGATTGGCCTTAACAAGAGGCTTTGAAATAAAGGAAGAAACTCTATTTTTGGGAGAATTTAAGAAACACTAGTGCACAAGAACCCAAGTTCGATCCCTGGTACCAAAAAAAAAAAAAACCACTAGTTACAGGTAATTGTCCTATCAGCTATTAAAAGCTGAAAAAATTTTGGTACCACCGCTCCCAGCTCAGAGGAGGAGGCTTCTGGGCCACCGTAGCACTGCTTCCAGCTCAGAGGAGGAGGCTTCCCGATCACCGCTCCCAGCGCAGAGGAAGTGAGCAGCGCAGTTGCCAGCAGCACACACACACACACACACACACACACACACACACACACACCCCTGTCAAAATGAGAAGGCACATAAACAAGTCTCAAAACCAGACTTCCAGATCACCTACAGCAGCCCCAAAGGGAAACAAGATGGAACACTCTGAGATTCAACCATCTGAACTCCCTGAACTCCCTCCCAACAAAAGAGGATCTGGAAAAAATGAAATCAGAAGTAATTTCTCAGATAACAGCAGAGATTGTGCTTATAGTGCAAGACATGATTAATAAATCTAGACAGGAGCTGAGGAACATGATGGAATCCCAACATAGGAAACAAATGGAATCCATAAAACAGATGCAAACAGATTTCCAGGAGATGGAAAACTACATTGAAAGTCTACACAGCAGAATGGGCCAATGTGAGGACAGAATTTCAGATATAGAAGATAAGATTGCAATTAGTGACCAGGAAAAGAAAAATTACTTTAAAATTGTAAAGGACTACGAGAAATCAATTCAGCAGCTGCTAGATGATACACAGAAGAATAACATAAGACTGATTGGAGTCAATGAAGAAACCGGAGAGAGTGCAGATGACATAAAAAACTGTTCACAGAAGTACTGGCAGAAAACTTCCCAAGCAGGGGAAAACAACTTGACACACAGATAATTGAGGCATGTAGGACTCCAACTAGCCTTGATCAAAAATAATCTGCATATAGGCATATAATTGTTAAGATTCCAGAAACCCAACAGAAGAACAAAGTTCTACAAGCAGTAGAAAAGAAACAAATCACATGCAAAGGAAAGCCCATCAGAATCACAGCAGACTTCTCAACGCGAACCCTCAAGGCAAGAAGAG